GATTAACATAATCAAAACAGAACTTGTGATATCCCTTCCCATTCCTGCCCCCAAACTCCCTGCTTATTCAAACCCATTCTTTTCCAGTTCAGTAAATGGCATTATTGCCTACCGAAGTGCACAAGGCAAATATCTAGAAAGTATTCCTTACTCTTCTCTTTTCTTCACACCTGACATTCAATTTATCAGCTAGTCCCATACATACTGCACATCCATTTGCTTCTCTCTATCTCCACTATCACCACCCCCAGTTATTAACATCTTTTGCATGAAGTGCTACAAATGCCTCGTAAGTAATTCCCCAGCTTCCATTTCAACCTCTGTATAACTTGTTGTGCACAAAACAACTTTCGTGATTTTTCAGTGTGACTCAGATCACATCACTCCCCTGCTTAACACTAATAGCATCCCATCAAACCTAGAATAAAATCCAACCTTCGGGCTGGACGCAGCTGCTCACACCTATAATCCCAGCACTTTGGGAGGTCAAGATGGGCAGATCACTTGAGGTCAGGAGTTTGAGACCAGCCTGACCAACATGCAAAACCCCATCTCTACTAAAAAATAGAAAAATTAGCTGGAAATGGTGGTGAGTGCTTGCAATCCCAACTACTCAGGAGGCTGCAGCAGGAGAATTACTTGAACCCGGGAGGTGGAGGTTGCCTTGACCTGAGATCGTGCCACTGTCTCAAAAAAAAAAAAAAAACCATCCCAACCTACACTAGTCCTACATGGCCTAGCCCCTGGCTGCCTCTCAGACTTCATTTTCCCTCTTAATTACTATGTTGGAATGTAGTAAGTCATTCCCACCTTTCCATTCCTTGACATTAGCCATTCCCGCTGTCTAGAAGGCTGTTATAATTCAGGTTTTAGTTTAGATGTTACTTCCTCACAGGAGGTATTTCCTATGTGCTTAGTATAAAATATCCATCCAAGTCACTCTCATCACCTCATAGTTTATTTCTGTGCATACCTGACATTATTACTCTGATACTTTCCTTCCTTTATTTGTTGGTTTTGCAATCTGTATCCCATGATAAAATGTGAACACCAGAACAGAGACCTGGTCTTCTTGACTACTGCTATGTCCCCAGTGCCTAGAACAGTGATTGGAGCAGCTGGCACCAAAAACCTTTCCTCTGGAGTTCATGTTTTTGGGTGGTATCTCCAGGATCTGGACTGTCCTCAGCCTGGCATCATCGTAATCTGTATCTGTTGGAGTTGCAGCAGATAGAGGCCTTGTCACAAACACCTTGTCATGGGTTCTCAAGATCAGTCTGTCACCTATAGAAAGTTATACTAGATTAGTTTGATGTAGACATGAGTCCAGGTGAATTCTGCTGAAATCTGGGCAGCTTCAAGTTCTGAGCAGAATAGAAAGTTAAGTAAGCTGACCTGATGGCCACCCTTTTATCTCAACAGTATATTAAACATGAACACTTGGATAATAAGCAACCACTGCAGCATTTTATGGTGAAGATGCTATGGAATTATGAGCATCTCATAAGCTCACCAAAGTGATTAGGTAATTGTTTTCCATCCTTATATTTTCCCACCTTTTCCCACTTTTTTCTTTGTCTAAAAATAAAATTATAAACGGAAAAAAAGAATGAAGAAAAATGAACAGAGCCTCAGAGAAATATGAGACATCATTAAGCTTGCTAACATGCATCTAATGGAAGTTCCAAAAGGAGAGGAGCGAGAGAAAAGAAGAGAAAAAAATTGTTTAAATAAATAGGGGCTGAAAACTTTCCAAATCTGATGGAAAACTTTACACATACAAGAAGCTCAACAAACTCTAAGAGGTTAAATGCAAAGATATCCACAAACACACATTATAGTAAAAAATGGTCAAGGACAAAGAGAAAAGCTTGAAGAAGCAAGAGAAAAATCCTTACTTATGGTTGGGCACAGTGGCTCACACTTGTAATCCCAGCACTTTGGGAGGCCAAGGTGGGCAGATCACGAGGTCAGGAGATTGAAACCATCCTAGCTAACATGGTGAAACCCCATCTCTACTAAAACTACAAAAAATTAGCCGGACATGGTGGCATGCGCCTGTAGTCCCAGCTACTCGAGAGGTTTAGGCAGGAGAATTGCTTGAACCCAGGAGGTGGAGGTTGCAGTGAGCCAAGATCACACCACTGCACCCCAGCCTGGGTGACACAGCAAGACTCTGTCTCAAAGGAAAAAAAAGAAAAATCCTTCCTTACAAGAGAACCCCAATAAGATCAACAGCTGACTTCTTATCAGAGGCAGTGGAGAACAGAATGCAGTGGATAACAGCCCAGGCACAGTGGCTCAGGCCAAGAAGGGAGGATTGCCTGAAGCTAAGAGTTCAAGACCAGCCTGGCCAACACAGGGAGACCTCTACAAATAATTGTTTGGGTTTTTTTTGTTTGTTTGTTTGTTTTTTTTTTTTTTGAGATGGAGTTTTGCTCTTTTCACCCAGGCTGGAGTACAGTGGTGTAATTTCAGCTCACTGCAACCTCCACCTCCCAGGTTCAAGTGATTCTCCTGCCTCAGCCTTCCAAGTAACTGGGATTACAGGCCACCACACCCAACTAATATTTTGTATTTCTAGTAGAGATGGAGTTTCGCCATGTTGGTCAGGCTGGTCTCGAACTCCTGACCTCAGGTGATCCATCCGCCTTGGCCTCCCAAAGTGCTGGGATTACAGGCGTGAGCCACCGCACCCAGCCTTACAAATGAATTTTTTAAATAGCCAGACATAGTGGCACACACCTGTAATTCCAGCTACTTGGGAGGCTTAGGTGGGAGGATCACTTGAGCCCAGGAGTTGGAGGCTGCAGTGAGCTATGATCACACCACTGTACTCCAGCATGGGAGACAGAGGGAGATCCTGTCCTAAAATGAAGGAGAAGGAGAAGGCAGTGGGATAACATTCAAAGTGATCAAAGAAAATCTGTCAACCAAAAATCCTACATTCAGCAAAAATTGTCTTTCAAATATGAAGACAAAATGAAGAGATTCCTAGATAAACAAAAATTGAGATAATTCATTGCTATCAGACCCACTGTACAAAAAATACTAAAAGTTATTTAGGCGGCCAGGCACAGTGACGCACACGTATAATCCCAGCACTTTGGGAAGCCGAGGCAGGTGGATCACCTGAGGTCAGGAGTTTGAGACCAGCCTGGCCAACATGGTGAAACTGCATCTCTACTAAAAATACAAAAATTAAAGCGGTGTGGTGGCGGGTGCCTGTAGTCCCAGCTACTCGTGAGGCTGAGGCAGGAGCATGGTGTGAACTCGGGAGGCGGAGCTTGCAGTGAGCTGAGATCCGGCCACCCCCCCCCCGCCTAGGGGAAAGAGGGACACACCCCAAAAAAAAAAAAAAAAAAAAAAAAGTTATTGAGGCTGAAACAAGTGACTCTAGATACTAATACACATAAGCATTAGTAAAGATGGCATGCATATTTATTTTCTTAACTAATTTTAAAAAGCAATTGAATATGTATATAATTTTATTGTTGGGACTATACCAAAGAAATGTGATGTATTTGCCAATAACAGCACAAAAGAGGTGGATGGGAGCAAAGCTATATTGGACTAAGGAAATGACTCCCAGTGGTAATACAGGAACAAATGAAGAGAACCAGAAATGAGAAATAAATTTGATACAATAAAAGCTATAAATATATATTTATACGCCAATGCAACAAAAGCTGTAAGTATATTTTTTTCTCCATTTTCTTCCCTCAGCTTTTTAAAAAGGTATAAAAGTAAAGTAATAGTTATAGCAATATATTACTGGGTTTGTAACATATATAGAGATGTATAACAATACCACAAGAGGAAACAGGGAATGGAGCTATATATGAATAATGTTTCTATATCTCTTTGGAATTGTAAATGTGAAGCAGATTCTGATGTTAAGATGTATGTATGGTAAGCCCTGGAGCAACAACTGAGGAAACAATTCAAAAAATATATAGTAAAAAATCATTTAAAAATTAATGTTACATCAGAAAATATTTACTTAATGCAAAAGAAAGGAAAAGAGGAATAAAGAAACAGAAAACATAGGAGGCATGGAGAAAGGAAAAAGTAAACCAGCAAAAGTAAATCCAGCTATATAAATAATAGCATTAAATGTGAATATGTTATCCATCAAAAGGCAGAGAACATCAGACTAGATAAGAAAACAAAATCCCAACTAAACGCAGTATATGGGAGACAGACTTTAAATTCAAGAACACAGATGGATTAAAAGTAAAAGGATAAAAAATTATATAACATGCAAACAGCAACCATAAGCAGGAGTGGTTATACAAAATAGGCTTCAAAAAATTATTAGAAATAAAGAGGGACATTTTATAATAAAAGGGTCACTCCATCAGGAAGATACAACAATTATAACCATATGTGAACCAAAAAACACCAAAATTCATAAAGTATAAACTGCCAGAACTGAAAGGGGAAATAACACAATTCAACAAGAATGGGCTTTCAATAATGGATAGACCAATAAGGCAGAAGATTGACAAGGAAACAGATGACTTGAACAACACTATAAACCAACGAAACCAACAGACATCTATAGACACTCCACTCAACAACAGCAGAATATACATGTTTCTCCAGTGCATGTGGAACATTCTCCCGGGTAGACCATGTGCTAAGCCATAATACAAGACCCAATACATTTTAAAGGAAAGAAATAATACAAAGTATGTTCTCTAACCACAAAGGAATTAAAAATAATATACGATAACCACAATAGAAATAAGAGGCTGGTGTGGTGGCACACATCAGTAATTGCAGCACTGAGAGGCCAAGTCTGGAGAATCACTTGAGCCCAGCAGTTTGGGACCAGCGTGGGCAACATGATGTGACCCCCATCTCTACAAAAATTTATTTTTAATTAGCCGGGTACAGTGGCACATGCCTGTAGTCCCAGCTACTCGGGAGGTTTAGGTGGGAGAATTGCTTGACTTAGGAGATCAAGGCTGCAGTGAGCCATGTTCAAACCACTGCACTCTAACGTGGGCAAGAGAGCAACACCCTGTCTCAAAAAAAGAAAGAACAAGGAAATCTGAGAAATCCACAGATACGTGGAAGTTAACATACTACTGAGTAACTAATGGGTGAAGGAAGAAATCACAAGGGAAATTAGGAAATACTTTGAGATAAATGAAAAGAAAGACAACATACCAAAACATATGGGACGTAGCTAAAGCAGTGCCTAGAGAGAAATTTGTAACTGTAAATGCTTAAATAAACAGGAAGAAATAATGTAGGATAAACAGGTTTAAAGATCTAATATACAGGCTCGAGCTGTAGGCATGCAGGGCCGGAGACGCTGCAGACCCACGACCTGGAGCAGCTCGGAGGTGGTGAATAATAGGTCTTCACGTCTGCAATAAAAAATGGCCTCCAATAAAACTACATTTCAAAAAATAGGAAAAAAACAATAGGAAGAGTAAAAAAGTTGAAGAGGCAGAGCCTGAAGAATTTGTGGTGGAAAAAGTACTAGATCGATGTGTAGTGAATGGGAAAGTGGAGTATTTCCTGATGTGGAAGGGATTTACAGATGCTGACAATACTTGGGAACCTGAAGAAAATTTAGATTGTCCAGAGTTGATTGAAGCATTTGTTAACTCTCAGAAAGCTGGCAAAGAAAAAGATGGTACAAAAAGAAAATCTTTATCTGATAGTGAATCTGATGACAGCAAATCAAAGAAGAAAAGAGATGCTGCTGACAAACCAAGAGGATTTGCCAGAGGTCTTGATCCTGAAAGAATAATTGGTGCCACAGACAGCAGTGGAGAATTGATGTTTCTTATGAAATGGAAAGATTCAGATGAGGCAGACTTGGTGCTGGCGAAAGAGGCAAATATGAAGTGTCTTCAAATTATAATTGCTTTTTATGAAGAGAGACTAACTTGGCATTCTTGTCCAGAAGATGAAGCTCAATAATTGTTCACATTGCTTTTATATATATATATATAAAATTATATATATATATATATAAAATTTGGGTCTTGGATTTTGATTTACTAGTGTGATGAAATAACTGCATCCTAATGAAAATCAAGTTTGATATGTTTGTTTTGAAAGTAGCATTGGAAGAGTTGTTGGGGGGTTTTTTGCATCCATAGCACTGGTTACTTTGAACAAATAAATAAAAGCTTTCTGTAGTTGCTTCTTTTATCAGAAAAGAACATTTGATACCATGGTATATTATTTCCTCTTCATTAAAGAACAGCTTTTCTAAATGTTGGGGGAAATGTCCGTAGTCATTACTCAATGAAAACTTGTGTTCTTATAAGCCTAAGGACCATTTTAGGTTTTTAAAATGTCTTTTTGTGTGTGTGTGTGTATCCATAAAATGCATATGTAAATTTTTCTTTGTTTTTAAGCATTCACCCAAACAAAAAATCACAGGTAAACCCATGTTTCTGAGATGCCATTATTCCGAGCAAAATAAGAAATAATCACTTCAAGTTAAATTGAAAATTTTCCTGAAGCCATACATTTCAAGGGAAATAAGTAATTCTAAATAGGACAATTTAAATTGGATAATTTTAAAGTATCTATAATTGCAGTGGTTTATTTGCAAATTTCCTAAAAGGAAAGATTTTATCACTGCCATCGCAGCAGGTTTTCTCATCCAGATGAGGAAACTAGACAAATGCTAGTGTGTTTTAACTAGCTGAACAAAACTAAGTTAAATGAAAATTTAAAAATTTCCCTAGTGAGCCATTCCTTAACAAAATGTTGAAATCCCTGTTGCTACATTGACTAAAAGGTAATGATGAATGGAATATGTAAGACTTGGCTTATATAAACCTAATCAGATGGTTAGAGATGTTGGCAGTTGAGGACCTGCTGCCATAAATGTGTGAACAACCTTTTGGAAGCTGACCTATTGACCTGCATGTTTTTTCTTTACCCCAACTGATTCCTTACATGTAGGCTCAATCTTCAGTTATTTGCTTTACTAGTTCAACAAAAGCCAGGAAGAACAACTTTGTAGTAATCAGAGTGTTATCCAACTGTATATTGTTTACTTGATTGTAAATACTGGTGAATCAGTGGTTAATAAATAGTTTTATATTCCTTTATGCAAAAAAAAAAAAGATCTAATATACAACATGAAGACTATAGTTAGTAATAGAGTATTTTATTAGGGATTTTTGCTAAATGAGTAGCTTATAGCTGTTCCTGCCCACAGAGAGGAAAATGTATAACTATGTAAGGATGATGGATATATATGTTCATTTGTCCCACTATAGTAACCATTTTACTGTATATGTGTATGTTATATCATGTATACCTTAAATATACACAATAAAAAATAAGAAAGTTTTTTGGTTTGTTTTTTGTTTGTTTGTTTTTGAGACAGAGTCTCATTCTGTTGCCTAGGCTGGAGTGCAGTGGCGTGATCTCAGCTCACTGCAACCTCCACCTCCTGGGCACAAGCAATTCTCATGCCTCAGCCTCCCAAGTAGCTGGGATTATAGGCATGTGCCACCATGCTTGGCTAATTTTTGTATTTTTAGTATAGTTGAGGCTTCACCATGTTACCCAGGCTGGTCTTGAACTCCTGGCCTCAAGTGATCTGCCTGCCTTTGCCTCCATAAGTGCTAAGATTACAGGCATGAGCCACCACACCCAGCCATGAAGAAAGATTTCAAATCAAGCACTTAACCTTCCACCTTAAGACACTGGAAAAAGAATAGCAATTAAAAGCACACTAAAAGAAAATAATAAAGATGGAAGCAAATGAACTAGAGAAGAGAAATGCGATAGAGAAAAACAAAACCAAAAGCTAGGTTTTGAAAAGATTTTTTAAATTGGCAAACCTTTTAGTTAAACTAAGGGAGACTCAAATTACTAAAATCAGAAATGAAAGAAGAGATATAAAGAAGATAAACAAGGCCGGGCATGGTGGCTGACGCCTGTAATCTCAGCACTTTGGGAGGCCGAGGTGGGTGGATCACGAGGTCAGGAGATCGAGACCATCCTGGCTAACATGGTGAAATCCCGTCTCTACTAAAAAATACAAAAAATTAGCTGGGCGTGGTGGCGGGTGCCTGTAGTTCCAGCTTCTTGGGAGGCTGAGCGGGAGAATGGTGTGAACCCGGGAACCAGAGCTTGCAGTGAGCCGAGATTGCACCACAGCACTCCAGCCTGGGCGACAGAGCAAGACTCTGCCTCAAAAAAAAAAAAAAAAGAAGATAAACAAAAAGGCTTATATAGGAGTACTATGAACAATTGTGTGTCTTTAGATTAAATGAGCAAATTATTAGACACAAACTACTGAAACTGACTCAAAAGGAGAGAAAATATGAATAGCTCTATAACAACTAAAGACATTGAATTGTCCAACACTGCCTACAAAGAAAAGCCCAGACATCACTAGACAAAGATATCACAAGAAAAAGAAAACTACAGACCGATATCTCCTATGAATATAGATGCAAAAATCTTCAACATACGCTAGTGCAATCCAGCAACATACAAAAATAATTATACTCCAAGGGAAATTTATTCCAAGAATGGAAAGTTGACTTAATATTTGAAAATCAATTAATGTAATACACTGTATCAATATAATTTTTTTTTAAGTTTCACAATTGGCTGGGTGCGATGGCTCATACCTGTAATCCCAGCACTTCGGGAGGCCGAGGCGGGCAGATCACAAGGTTTGGGAGTTCTAGACCAGCCTGGACAACATGGTGAAACCCCGTCTCTACTAAAAATACAAAAATTAGGCATGGTGGCATATGCCTGTAATCCCTGCTATTCGGGGGGCTGAGGCAGGAGAATTGGCTTGAACTTGGGAAGCGGAGGTTGCAGTGAGCCAAGATCACACCACTACACTCCAGTCTGGGTGACAGAGCAAGACTCTGTCTCAAAAAAAAAAAAAAAAAAAAAAAGGTTTCACAATCATCTCAATAGATGCATAAAAAGCAATCGACAAGCCCAATATTTTTTCATGATAAAAAAAACAGCAACATAGAAGGGAACTTCCTTAACTTGATAAAGGACATCTACAAAACACCCACAGTTAATGTCACACGTAATGGTGAAGAAATGGATACTTTCCCACTAAGATCAGGAACAAGACAATCCCATTCTCAACATTTCTATTCAATATTGTACTGGAGGATCTAGCCAGAGCAGTCGGGCCAAAAAAATGACATAAAATGCATCTAAACTGGAAAAGAAGTAAAACTGTATCTATTCAGAGATGACCTGATCCTGTATGCAGGAAATTCTATGAAATCACTAAAAAAAATTAGAACAGATAATTGAGTTCAGCAGCACTTCAGGATATAGGATCAATATGACAAAATCAACTTATTTCTATACAGTAGCAATGAAAAATCTAAAATTGAAATTAAGAAAACAACTTATAACATCAAAAAATTAAGAGCTTAAGGATAAATTTAACAAATTGAAAACATATTCAAATAAAATATTGTTGAAAGAAATTAAAGGCCTAAATAAATGGAAAGACATCCTATGTTCATGGATCATAAGACTTAATGTTGTTAAGATGGGAATATTCCTCAACTTAATCTACAGATTCACCACAGTCTCTAGCAGAGAGACTTGTAAGAGACTCTCTTCCTTGTAGAAATTAACAACCTGATTCTAAAATTTATGTGAAAACTCAAGGGACTCAAAACAGCCAAAACAATTTTGGAAAACAACAAAGAAGATTTACACTTTCCCATTTCCAATCTTACTACAAAGCTACAATAATCAAGACAGTGCAGTACTGGCATAAGGATAGACATACAGATCAATGGAACAGAATTGGGAGTCCAGAAATAAACCCACATTTCCATGGTCAACCGATTTGCATCAAGGGTGAAAAAGAATAGTCTTTTCTACAAATGGCACTAGGATAGCTAGACAGGCTAATGCAAAATAATGAAGTTGGATCCTTACATCACACCATATGTAAAAATTGACCCAAAATGGATCGAAGACCTGAACGTAAGAGTCAAAACCGTAAAACTCTTATAAGAAAGCATAGGGGTAAATCTTTGTGACCTTGGATTTGGCAATGGATTCTTAGACACTAAAAGCACAAGCAACAAGCAAAAAAAATAAATTGGACACCAAAATTAAAAACTTTTGTGCTTCAAGGAACATCAAGAAAGTGAAAAGGGCTGGGCGCGGTGGCTCAAGCCTGTAATCCCAGCACTTTGGGAGGCCGAGGCGGGTGGATCACGAGGTCAGGAGATCGAGACTATCCTGGCTAACATGGTGAAACCCCGTCTCTACTAAAAATACAAAAAACTAGCCGGGCGTGGTGGTGGGCGCCTGTAGTCTCAGCTACTTGGGAGGCTGAGGCGGGAGAATGGCGTGAACCCGGGAGGCGGAGCTTGCAGTGAGCCGAGATCAGGCCACTGCACTCCAGCCTGGGAGCACAGCGAGACTCCATCTAAAAAAAAAAAAAAAAAAAAGAAAGTGAAAAGATAGCTTACAGAATATGAGAAAATGTTTACAAAGTATGTATCTGATAAGGGAACGTGTATGCAGAATATATAAATAATGCCTACAACTCAACATTTAAAAGAAAAATAACCCAATTTTTAAAATGGTGAAAGACTTGAATAGACATTTTTCCAAAGAAGATATACAAACGGTCAATAAGCGCATGAAAAGTTGCTCAACATCATTGGCCATCAGGGAAATGCAAATCAAAACCACAGCGAGATATCACTTTAACACTCAGTAGAATGGCTATAAGCAAAAAGCTACATAACAACAAATGTTGCCAAGGATGTGGAGAAACTGGAACCCTCTACACTGCTGATGGGAATGTAAAATAATGCAGCCACTTTGGAAAGCCACCTGTCAGTTCTTCAAAAAGTTAAACATATAGAGTTACCATATGACCCAGATATATACGCAAAATAATTGAAAACAGGTACTCAAACCAATACTTGTACGCAAATGCTCATAGCAACACTATTCACAATAGCCAAAATGTGGGGAAAAAAACAAATATCTATTGACTGATAAACGGAGAAAGAAAATGTCGTATACCTATACAATGGAATATTAATCAGTCACAAAAAGCATGAACCTTGTAAATGTTTTGCTGTGCGAAAGAAGCCAGACACAAAAGATCACACGCTGCATGACTCTATTTGTATACAATATCCAGAATGGGTAAATCCATAGCAACAGAAAGCAAATTATAAATTGTTAGGGACTGGCCAGGCGCAGTGACTCACGCCTGTAATCCCAGCACT